CTGGGCCTATGTACAGATGCTTGGAATTAAACTGGCATGCAAAGTGAGGGCTGTGTTCTGGGTCAATCCTGAGGCATAGGATTTGATACGGCCTGTATACGCTACCTATAGCATCTTCCTGGAAGCAATTTGGCAAAACCAACCAGGCAGTTCTTTAACCACAGTGCTTTCTCTTCATGTTGCAATCTCTGAGTCCCAGAGGCCCTTGGTGGGAGCCAACAGTCCGTTGCATCATCCCTGGTGTGCGAACTTCACACCCTCCGCCTCTCCAACGTGGTCTTCACCTGCACCTCTTTGTGCCACCGCTCACGTCCAGGGAGTCAGAGGTTGGTGTCGTGCAAATATTTGAATGATCTCAGAGGTGCACTGTCCTCCAGGTGCAGGGATCAGGGTGAAAGTTTATCCCGCGAGAGCAAATAACATCAAAGGCAAAGTAGCGGGGAGGGTCGATAAGACGCGTGGGCAGGCAGGGTCAGATAGCACCATAACATGGTGTGGGGAAACAGACTTACTGGGTTGCGTGAAGTAGAAGTCAACACGGAGCTGGAAAAAAACAAACCATTGGCTGTTGCATGAGGATGAGGCGAGCCAGCTAAAGCATGTCATCATCATCTTCATCTTCTTCACCATCATCAATATTATGGCTTCCTTTCTGAGCTGTGCTGCTAGGTGGAGAACATGCACAAGGCCATACCCAGTGAGCTTTGTGGCTGAGTGGGGGGTTTGAACCCTGGTCTCCTAGGTCTTAGTCTAACACTCTAACCACTTCACCATACACTGACAGACCCTCCAAGTGTCCTTATTTTCCAGGGACAGTCCAGGCTTTACAGAAGAAGTCCCGGTTTCTGATTTGATCCCAGAATGTCCTGCTTTTTCCTTATTATGTCCTTATTTTCATTGGAGAAATGTTGGAGGGTATGGAGTTATGCAATCCCCGAGCCAAGGAGCTAAGTAACCAGACAACTTTTAGAGGACATCTGAAGACAGCCCTGTTTAGGGAAGGTTTTGTTAATGTTTACTGTTTCTTTGTGTTTTTACGGCAGCTGCACAGAGTGGCTGGGATATAAATAACAATGCAGTTACTATCATTATCATTATTATTATTGAATAGGGTGTCCCTATTTTCACCGGAGAAGTGTTGGAGGGTATGTAGCTGGCACTTGGAAGTTTTCAGTAAAGTGCCTTCATAACAGCAGCATCTTTTGGGAATCCTGACTAGCAGAGGTTAATCTGACCCACATATAATTGTGCGAAGAAGAAGAAGAAGGAGAAAAATATGTCTCTCCCCACCTCTGTCAAAGGCGCTTCCCGCCACTGTCTTCTCGCGCAGGCCCTTCAGCAAAATGGTGGCATGATGGCGTGGGGGTGGGGGTAAATGTGTGTGTGTGTGTTTGTGTGCCTTACATTATACCCCCCCACGCACACACTCTCCAACTGCTCAGCATTTGCACATTCGGCAGCGGAGGTGCCTAACATCGCGTCGCACTCAGGGGAAACTCTGACAGATTGTCTCGCAACATATTGCAGGATCACCGCAAGAGGAGCTAGGACCTTCTGACGTCTACGCTGAAAACCGACCCTGTGTGCTTCAGAGAGTTCTTCTCTGTTCAGATTCTGTATGAAATTCAAGAGGCCAGGACACACACGTTTGCAATCTCTCTCTCTCTCTCTCTCTCTGCCCTCCCTGAAATATTGATGCTGAGCTGCCAACTTTTTCGCACCCCGCGCGAAGTCAGCAAGGGTAAGTCATCTGAGGAGAGAGACGGGACTGGGAACCATGCCTCACCTCTCCCCAGAATGCTCCCAGGGGCTTGCGTGGCCCTAGCCCCTTGCCAGGGGGTTTCGGACAAAAGCATGGGGAGCCCCTGGGTTCCTTTAATGGAAAACCCTTGAAGCAGCAGCAGCAGCATTTTGGAGGGGCAGGCACAGCCGAATCCATACCCCTCCACCAGCAGCAGCATTTTGGAGGGGCAGGCACAGCCGAATCCATACCCCTCCACCAACCAATTCCAAGACCAATGCCTAACCGCAAACCTTACAAGTTGTGACGATTTGCTATGCAGAAAACCAGCCCTGTGTGCTTCAGAGAGTTCTTCTCTGTTCAGATTCTGTATGAAATTCAAGAGGCCAGGACACACTTGTTTGCCATCTCTCTCTCTCTCTCTCTCTCTCTCTCTCTCTCTCTCTCTCTGCCCTCCCTGACATATTGATGCTGAGCTGCCAACTTTGTTTCTGTTTGATACCTGCCACTTATTTCTTTGCCACCCACGATAACGGCTGCTAAGTACATATGTCAGTGACGCAGATGAGTGAGCTGGGTGATAAAATGACAGAGGGCGGTGGCGGGGAGGGGGCACTTTGTGACGAGGAGAAGATGACTTTGTGGATGCAGAGGGCATCTTTGGAAGCTGGCATTCTCTCTCTCTCTCTCTCCTCATCAGCCTTCAGCTTTAACTTCCTTTCCAGCAGCCTCAGAATGGGGCTGTTACAAGCCCTCTCCTCTCTTCTCCCCTTTGCATTTGAACAGCAGCTATCCCAGACAGAAAGGAGATAATGTGACATGCAGGATAAGTCCAGGGACATGTTTGTTTAAGATGGCTATCAACGCTTGGGAGTGGGAGTCTCTTTCAAAGAAAGAGCAGGATGGAGCCAAGAACGGGAGACAAGGGTGGGCGGCTGGGATGATTTACCGCTAATGGGTCACTTGCAAGAAGTCCACGGCATCACATCGGCCAAGAACCCATGGAGGAGACAGAGGCCACTTCTCTCCAGCAAGGAGCTGGGTGGTCTCATTTCAAGGTTCTCCTTGGTGGTCCGGCCAGCTTTGGTTGCCTTCCTCATTGGGTAATTGTTTTCCTTTTTGCAAGGGCACATCCTGCTCCCCTCCTTTTTTTCTACAGAGCTTCCAATCGAACGAAAACAGTCAACAAACAGCCCCAGTTATGCCAAATGACTTGGGCTGAAGCCATCAGAAAGGAGTGCACAGAGTTCAGAAGTGATGGAAATGCTCTAGTTTGAGTTCTTGCAACTGCTTGTGTGATGGACTGGGGAAGCTCTGCCTGAAGACACCAGCCCTGAGACATTGGGGGCTTTTAAGGCTACATTCACACCTTAAATTTCAAGCTGTACATGCACTTTAAACCGCCACGGCTTCCTTCAAATAATTCTGAGAGCTGTAGTTTACAAAGGGTGCTGAGAGTTGTTAGTTGTTCCTGTTCTCTACCCAGAGTTACAATTCTCATAGTTACCTGGGAAGAGGTGGCCAAAGTATTGGAGCCTCAGCTTCACGATCTGTCCTTCCAGTGAGCACTCAGGGTTGATTTCCTCATGAGAAGAGAAGACTCCCTGGAAAAGACCCTGATGTTGGGAAAGATGGAGGGCACAAGGAGAAGGGGATGACAGAGGACGAGATGGTTGGATGGTGTTCTCGAAGCCACCAGCATGAGTTTGACCAAACTGACAAAACTGCGGGAGGCAGTGGAAGACAGGAGTGCCTGACGTGCCAGTGTCCCACATCTGATTTGTCACAGGGTGGCAAATCATTTAGGCCACATTCACACTTCACATATCATAGATAACACTGAATAACAAAAGTTATGAAAGATCAAAACAGAACTTCACACAAGCTTGCTCTGGATCTCTTTTAGGATTTAGCTAAATCACTACAATAATATAAATGTATTATGACGAAATGGCAAAAATGACCGGAAGAATCAGAAATCAAGAAGATCAAAATTTTAATAAGGAATGCGAAAAAATTATAATTTATCTTAAAAATCATTGTAAACAGTTTAAAATCGTTAGTAGGATTGGAATGACACCTGTAGTTTAATGGTGGATTTTGGATATAATGGAGATGTAAAAGATTTGGATTATTATAAAAGTGGATTTGTAACTGGGGGACTGACCGAACCCAAAGGGTGCTCATCAATGGTTCCTCTTCATCCTGGAGAAGAGTGACTAGTGGGGTGCCACAGGGTTCTGTCTTGGGCCCGGTCTTATTCAACATCTTTATCAACGACTTGGATGATGGACTCAAGGGCATCCTGATCAAATTTGCAGATGACACCAAACTGGGAGGGGTGGCTAACACCCCAGAGGACAGGATCACACTTCAAAATGACCTTGACAGATTAGAGAACTGGGCCAAAACAAACAAGATGAATTTTAACAGGGAGAAATGTAAAGTATTGCACTTGGGCAAAAAAATGAGAGGCACAAATACAAGATGGGTGACACCTGGCTTGAGAGCAGTACATGTGAAAAGGATCTCTGAGTCTTGGTTGACTACAAACTTGCCAAGAGCCAACTGTGTGACGCGGCAGCTAAAAAGCCAATGCAATTCTGGGCTGCATCAATAGGAGTATAGCATCTAGATCAAGGGAAGTAATAGTGCCACTGTATTCTGCTCTGGTCAGACCTCACCTAGAGTACTGTGTCCAGTTCTGGGCACCACAGTTCAAGAAGGACACTGACAAACTGGAACGTGTCCAGAGGAGGGCAACCAAAATGGTCAAAGGCCTGGAAACGATGCCTTATGAGGAACGGCTAAGGGAGCTGGGCATGTTTAGCCTGGAGAAGAGGAGGTTAAGCAGAGGCTTGACAACCATGTGTCAGGAGTGCTCTGATGGTGTTTCCTGCTTGGCAGGAGGTTGGACTCGATGGCCCTTGTGGTCTCTTCCAACTCTATGATTCTATGATGCAGGAGGAAATGATTAACAATAAGACCCACAAAGGGGAGGAGGGAGTCCAGGAGATTCTTTGGAATCTTGTTTTTATGATGTATGTTGGATATGTGATTTTAAAACTTTGAATTGAAAAACCAAATAAATAAATTTACAAAACAACAACAACAGAAATGTTGCTGTGATTGACAAAACAAAGTATTTCATTAGTATTATTTATGTTGCAGGATGTCTCGACTGCTGCCTCCATCAGTTGCTCTGATCAACATGAAAGGATGCTGTTTCCAAGGTGACAGCTCTAGAGCTTTGAGAATGGAATGCTCAGAAGGGCTTCATTCCCTGAAGCGCAGCAATACTGGGACTATGATACCTCCAGGTTCAGGCTGTGTGGTGTCTACAGGTCCAATGTGTCCAGAACTTCTCCCTCTTTGCTAATCTTGCTGTATTAGTTGGTATCCCTATAGCGATTACTGAGAAGTATGATGGGCTGCAGTTATCAGCTTTGAAATGTTTAGCAACCAGGCACTCCACTTTTTTTGGAACGAGGGAGAGAAAAGCTCTGGAGGAGAGAACCCGAACCACTGGTTTCAAATGACAAAAAATGAGATTCCATTTTTATTTTTATTTTGTCCCTGGGCATCTAATGGAGAGGCAAGATCTGTTGGAGTGTTAATGCTGTGAGCCCCTCCATCCTATGTTCAGACTACTGCTGCCACACACACATGCACACACACACACACCAAACCCGTCATCTGTCCTAGAAAAACTTGAACATCTCATTTCTTCTCATGAGAGCATGTTGGCCATCTTGGGTGCCGTGATCTCGCATGATTTCGACATCATGGTAAAAGCACATTTTTCAGGGCTGCGATGTTGTTTGGCACTCCAAAAATGCGAGTTTTGGGGCACAGTGCCCCCCAAAAGTACTTTTATCATGGGGAAATCACGGCTCAGCATGGTGAGAAAAAACGGGAAAATGGTGTCCCAGATGGTAGCGTCCCGGTTTTTCCCTTTGATGTGTTAGAGGGTGTCAGGGAACTGCCATCGGACGGAAGGGAGGTGAAAGGGCTCACACAGGTTGGGAGAGAAGCAGCAGCTGAAGAGGGAACCGGAAGGGAGGTGAAAGGGCTCACACAGGTTGGGAGAGACGCAGCAGCTGAAGAGGGAACCGGAAGGGAGGTGAAAGGGCTCACACAGGTTGGGAGAGACGCAGCAGCTGAAGAGGGAACCAGCAGGGGAGAGGAGCTGAGCTGGAGGGATGGCTCAGAGACACTTCCAGCGAAAACAGTGGGGAGGTTTCAGGACCTCCTGTAAGAACACCCACTCCTCGCCGGAAACTGTCACGCAGAGATTCCAGAAGACGTGTTTCCGTTAAGGAGCTTTTATGTTGGAAGCGATTACGAAGCAACCACTGTCGGAATCTGCTAGTGACTAGAGTAGCCATGTCTGAGGGGCTCCGTCACAGACAGAGGTTTGTGGACTTGAACAAACTCTGAGGGGATACGATTTTACGCACAAGCAGCTCATCATCCCATCACAGCATTCCGACAGTGGTTGAAAGCAGCTTGTGCAGGAGAAGGCATCATGAGCAACCCAGCCGGAACCGGAGAAGCAGGAGCTGGAGCGGGTCCAAGCCTGGAAGAAAGGTACCAGATGTTGGAGGTCCAGCTAGCGATGCAGACGGCGAGGCTTGAGGAGAGGAGGGCTCTGGATGCAGACAAAAAGGCGCAAGCCACCCAGTTCGCCAGAAAGGTACCAGGATTGGTGCAGAAGTTTGGGGGGGAGCACAAAAACTATCATGGTTTTCGGACAGAAATGCAATATGCCCTCAATCTGCAGTTTGATGAATTCCCTGACGAGGAATCACGAGTGGCTTTCGTGATTGAGCATCTTGAAGAGGGGGCGAGAGACTGGGTTAGACCCCTGATGGCAGCTAATAGTGACGTCTTAAAGGACACGATGAAGTTCTTTCGCGCCATGGATCTGATGTTTTCCAGCGATATTGAAAAGGGAGTGGTGCGCAGACAGTTAATGGGTTGCAAACAGGGGAGCCGATCTGTCCGTGAGTACTGGACTGAGTTCACCATGCTTGTTCACAGATTGGGGTGGGACTTATCGGCGGAACCCATTCAAATGCTCTTTGAAGAAGGGCTTTCTTCGGCTGTGAAAGACGAACTTTCCCGGGCGCCCAGGGCGGAGTCTATGGACCAGCTGACCAAATCAGCGCTGGCCATAGGAGCGCGCCAGGAGGCGAGAGCATTGGAGAGGCGGGACGGGCAAGGGGAACGTTGGAAGGAGTTCCGCATTCCAGACATTCCAGAGCCAACTTTCCCACCGGCAGAGCCGATGGAAATCGGAACAGCGCGCGCGCGCGCAGTTTCAAAGCCCAGTGAGGGGGCAAAGAAGGAGGGAAAAGGCGCCCGGAAATGCTATCTCTGCCAACAGCCAGGTCACTTTGCCAGAGTCTGCCCCCAGAGGAAAGAATGGCAAGGGATGGTAGGAGCTGTGGATGGAAGAGAGGACAAAATACCGGAGCAAGTACAAGCCAACGCCTGGCTGCCACTGTCAGGGCACAGCAGCCAGGCCAAAGAGCAGTGAGAGTGCCCACGCCAGAACCTCCTAAACCCGCCCTAGTGATAGAAGTGACGCTAGAGCTGCCAAACGGACACCCTCTAAAGATAAAGGCGCTGTTGGACTCAGGCAGCTCCTGCAATTTCATGAGCAAAGAGTTTGCAGCTGAACACCAGATACAGACAATCCCTTTAAGCAGCCCCCTGCAGGTGACCACGATCGATGGCAGGGAGCTGTTGGGTGGAGAAGTCAGCTTGCAGACCGTCCCAATGATAATGAAGGTAGCAAGGCACACCGAACTGATAGCTTTTAATGTGGCCACCTTGGGAGGAGCTCCCATTATATTGGGGATGAGCTGGCTAGCGTTACATGATCCGCTGGTGGGCTGGCATCAGAGAGTGGTTTCTTTTGGTTCAGCACATTGCTTAGAACACTGCAAAGAGGGAAAGGGTTTGGCAGGGGTCCAAGCCACCCTAGCAGGGACTGAAGTAACAGAGAACGTGAAGGTACCACGACAATATGCAGATCTCCGTGACGTCTTCAGCGAAAGGAAGCTGACCAACTACCCCGCATAGACCCTTTGACTGTCAAATCAACTTACTCCCTGGAGCACAGCTCCCTGTAGGCAAGCTGTACGCCATGTCAGACAGAGAGATGCAGGAGTTAAGAGAGTTCATTGACAAGAACCTGAAGAGAGGGTTCATCAGAGAGTCCAGGGCGGTGGGGGGCAGCCCAGTGTTTTTGTGGATAAGAAAAACACGAACAAGCCGAGGCTGGTGTGTGACTTCAGGGCCTTAAATGCAGTGTCAGAACCAGTAGCCTTCCCTATGCCCAGGATTGACGACATTTTGACAAGGGTGCGGAAGGGAAAGATTTTCACAAAGCTGGACCTAAGGGGGGCGTACAACCTGGTACGAATAAGGAAGGGGGATGAATGGAAAACCACTATGTTCACCCCTTTAGGGGCATTTGAATATTTGGTTATGCCCTTCGGCCTACAAGCAGGCTCCGCAACATTTCAATCGTTTATGAACCACGTCCTGGGGCCTTTGCTTTACAAGAATTGTGTGGCCTTTTAGACGACGTGTTGGTGTATTCTGAGAATGAGGAGCAGCATGTGAGAGACGTCAGAGAAGTGTTGAGCAGGCTGCAAGCCAACCAGCTGTGGGTGAAACTGGAGAAGTGTCAGTTTCATACCAAGGAGGTGGAATTCCTGGGGTATCGCCTGTCAGACAAGGGATTGGCCATGGATCCCGGCAAGGTCCAGGCGGTGCTGGAATGGAAAACACCCAAAACAAAGAAGGATGTGCAGAGGTTCCTAGGATTTGGGAACTTCTATCGTAAGTTCATCCGAAACTTTGCCCACCTGACGGCGCCCATTACGGACTGTCTCAGCAGTAAGAAGAAGTTCGTGTGGACTGAGGAGGCGGAGCGAGCATTTGAGGAACTAAAAGGGCCTTCGCCTCGGAACAACAACTCCTGCATGTGGATTTACAAAAACCGATGAGAGTGGAAACTGACGCATCAGACAGAGCGATTGGGGCGGTGCTTCTGCAGCCAGGCAAGAAGGGGTCAGAGTGGAGACCGTGTGCCTTTTCTTCGCGAAAGCTGAACAAATCCGAGAGGAACTACACGGTGTATGACCGAGAACTACTAGCCATTCATGAGGCGTTCCGGAGATGGAGGCACCTGCTAATTGGGGCACAACATAAGGTGCAAGTGTGCACTGACCACAAGAACCTAGAGTATTGGAGGACGGCACGAGTGCTCAACCAACGGCAAGTGAGATGGGCCCAGGAGTTCTCCAAATTTAACTTTGAGATTAGTTACGTGCCAGGCCCAGAGAACATTAGGGCGGACGCTCTCTCACGCAAACCTGAATATTTGGAGGGAGGGGCACCCGAAGAGAGACATGTCATTCCAGAGGACCGCTGGGTGTGTGGGGCGGCATTGGTGGGACAAAGAGAACTGGTAGAGGAAACAGAGAATGATGAATACGCCCAGAATAAGCTCAGAGGTCTTAGGGGTGATGGAGAGGAACCAGGGGTTTCGAGGAAAGAAATGGAGCTTTGTATTACAAAGGGGCACTGTATATCCCTGAAGGAGAGTTAAGGGGAGGGTACTCAAGCAGTTGCACGACAGCCCTACGGCGGGGCATTTTGGACAACACAAAACCATGTGGTTGGTCACCAGGGAATTTTGGTGGCCTAAGGTGAGGGAAGATGTACGTGAGTATGTAAGAGGGTGTGAGCAATGCCAGCGAGCCAAAGGGGAAAGGCGGGCGCCGGCGGGGCTATTAGAACCCTTACCAACCCCAGAACGACCTTGGGAGGCAGTGTCGATAGATTTTATGACTGATCTGCCGAAGTCCAAAGGGAAAACAGCCATCATGGTGGTGGTAGACCTACTAACAAAGATGTGCCACTTTGTAGCTTGCTCGCATGCAGTCACGGCGGAAGAGACAGCGAAGTTATTTGTAGAACACATTTTTAGGTTGCACGGGGTGCCATTGAGGGTGGTCTCAGACCGAGGAAAACAATTTACTTCCAGGTTCTGGAGGAAGCTCATGAGCTTACTGCAGGTGGAGGTCAATTTTTCGACTGCCCGGCACCCTGAAACCAACGGGCAGGCGGAAAGAGCAAACGGTGTCCTCCAGCAATACCTGAGGTGTTATGTCAATGACAGAGAGAATGACTGGGTAGAAAAGTTGGCGCTGGCGGAATTTGCCTACAACAATGCCGAGAATGTGTCCACAGGGATGAGCCCCTTCTTGGCTAATTATGGGTGTCATCCCAGGGCTTTCCCAGGGGGGAGAAGGGGAGAGATGGAGCGTCCCGGCAGCCGAGCATTTTGTAGAAGAAATGGAAGCAATCCATCGTCAGCTCCAACTCAACTTAGAAAGGGCGAAGGAAGAATACAAGAGGCAGGCAGACAAGAACCGAAGGGAAGGTGAAACCATAAGGGTGGGAGATAGGGTGTGGCTGTCCACCCAAGGGTTGCCGTTCAAAGGAGGTTGTAAGAAATTAAGACCCAGGAGGTTGGGTCCCTTTGAGGTCATTCAACAGGTCAACCCAGTGGCTTTCAGGCTCCGGTTACCCAACCACATGAAACTGCACCCAGTATTTCACAGGTCGTTACTGTCACCGTACGAAGGGGGACGAGAAGGGCTGGCCACTCGGGGACCGGTCGTAGAAGAAAGAGAATGCAGCAGCCATGTGGCAGAAATCCTCGACGCCAGGTGGAAGGGGGATCAGGTGGAGTATTTGGTAGCGTGGGAAGGAGAACCGGAGTCAGAAAACACTTGGGTAATGGCTGAAGATATCAATGACGAGGTATTGATAGAAACGTTCCATCGAAGGTTCCCAAGGAAACCTCAGCCTGTGGAGAGGTTCCGGAGGGAATACTTTGGGACCACTGATGAAGGGGAGGAGTTGGAAGGATTCCCGGACTCGGAAGGGGACGGGGGATGGACTCTGAGGAGGAGGTGTACTTCGAGACCAGGAACCGCAACAGGTTGAGAGAAGTGTTCGAGACATCAGAAGATGAAGGAAGTTCATTCCGGGGTTTTGCCTCCTCACCGCCCGTAGAGGAGGGGGCGAGAGGGGGTGAAGGGGGCCCTGGAGGGGAGGTGGATGTCAGGGAACTGCCATCGGACGGAAGGGAGGTGAAAGGGCTCACACAGGTTGGGAGAGAAGCAGCAGCTGAAGAGGGAACCGGAAGGGAGGTGAAAGGGCTCACACAGGTTGGGAGAGACGCAGCAGCTGAAGAGGGAACCGGAAGGGAGGTGAAAGGGCTCACACAGGTTGGGAGAGACGCAGCAGCTGAAGAGGGAACCAGCAGGGGGAGAGGAGCTGAGCTGGAGGGATGGCTCAGAGACACTTCCAGCGAAAACAGTGGGGAGGTTTCAGGACCTCCTGTAAGAACACCCACTCCTCGCCGGAAACTGTCACGCAGAGATTCCAGAAGACGTGTTTCCGTTAAGGAGCTTTTATGTTGGAAGCGATTACAAAAGCAACCACTGTCGGAATCTGCTAGTGACTAGAGTAGCCATGTCTGAGGGGCTCCGTCACAGACAGAGGTTTGTGGACTTGAACAAACTCTGAGGGGATACGATTTTACGCACAAGCAGCTCATCATCCCATCACAGCGGGTAAGTCACATACATACATAAACCCATATGTATCCTAAAGACACCTTCATTCCACAGAAACTTGATTCCACATTGGGTAAGCGCTGGAGTCTCTCACACCTCAGAGACTGAGGTGTGTGCAGCAATATATATTCAGCAAAGCTTGGCTGTTTACTCTGTAATGACAAGATATGAAGGCTAGAGCTGAGAGTCATTTCACAAGATGTGTGAATCAAAGAACTGGCCGTGTTTTCAAACAACTCAGTGCGCCGTAGCCCTTGAATGCACAGTTTTTAATCTTACCTGCCAACTTCTCTGCCTTCATTCTTCTGCGGTCAGACCCAGAAACAAATGAGCAAAAGCCCGGTGAAAAGGGATATTTTTCATCTGCTCTCGGGGCTGATAGGATGCCTCCCTTTAATGTACAGTTGAAATACACAAATGCAAACCTCCCTTTGGGGAGAGGAGGAGGAGAGAGAAAAATATATATCACTCAATGCATACTCCACTAAACAAAAACAAATGGCCCCAAAGTAAGATCTTTCTTCAGGGGGTCCCATTGTTTTATGAAACCCGCCCTGAAAATGTATTAATCTCATAGCTGAAGGGGGGGGGAGTGTGTGACAACAAAGGATCAACTTTCCATGGTATTCCCCCCCTCCCACTAGGTTCTCTGAAAGTTTGTTCTTCTAATTGATTTATTCTGTTAGTAGGTGGTGCGTTACGTTTGTTTGAAATGCCTCCAGTGGGTTCATTCGGAGCGTCTGGCCTGACATAAACCAGACGCATTGGCTGCCTGTGTTTTGTGGAAATGGACTTAAATTCTGCAGGCAAATTTGCTGCTTTTTTATATCCATTTTTTACAAGGCTCCTGGGAGCCGGGGGGGGGGGATTCTGCGGACCTTCACCGTACAGCGTTGTCTGTTTCGTCACTGTGGACGTTATCAACACCCCCTGAGGCTGGGAATAATTCTTCATGCTTCCAGTGTTATGATCTTCTCTTCCTCTCTTCTTGGGACAGTTTTGCTCAGGCCTCTCCATCTGGTCCTTAGGTCACGATCCTCCCAGACCACAACTTCTCTCCAGCTGTGCTCTGCTGTCCGCTTTGAGAGCTGTTCCCTGGCCTTGCACAATAACCATGTCTCTGGCTGGCTTGGATGTTTGCGTTCATGGGCTTGTGCATGATATTGCTTTAAATGCATGGTGCAGATGGGGCCTTGGCTAGTTAGAGAAAGGCCCCATCTGCACGATACATTTTGTAATAATAAAATTTAAGGTCCTATATAATTAATGTTCATAAATGTACCAACCAAGCACGTACATAGATCAGCACAGGAAGACTGACCTGAAACCATTTTGACTCCCAAGCTGACCAAATGTTTCTCTGCAAGGAGGGAGGAGGTGAAAAAACCTTCATTGTTACAGGAATTGGGTAATCACCATTTCAAAGGAATGGGCAAACTACCAGGAAAGGCAATCAGATAAGGCATTATCAGATAACCTGACAGACAGGAAAAACAACAACATTCAAATTTCTGTTGTAGACCACCTTTTCTGTGATGTAGGTATGATGTTTGTGGGGGGTGGTCTTGGGTTACACTCCTTTTGTGATGTATGTATGATGTATGGAGGGGTGGTCTTAAGCTCCAGGGACGGCAGTTTAAAATGTCTATATAAGGGCAGGCACACCTTTGTTCTGGGTCCTCCTCTGTCCTCCTGCGTATGAGGGGAGCACCCTATTGCAACAGCTTTAATAAAGATCAGGCTTACTAGCTGCTTTACTTCTCAATAGTCTCTGGTTGGCTTCTGTTATTTTCTCCTACCAATAGGGAACCCACGTAAGGACTCTATATGGGCTCTTGGATACCCCATAAGGGAAAAAGGGCAGATTTTGTTTACAACAATATAAAGCAGGATTGTACCATGTTGTCCCACAAAGAATCATGGGAACTGTAGTTCATTAAGGGTTGAGAGTTGTTAGGTGACTCCTTTTACCCTGACACAGATACAATTTTCAGAGTGGTTTAATAAGCAATCTCTTTTCCAACCCCAACTCCCTCTTCTTTAGGGGAAGGGCAGTGGCTCAGTGGTAGAGAATTTGCTCTACATGCAGGATGTTCCAGGTTCAATTCCTGGCAATGTCCCCTGTCTAAAAGGTGCTGCCAGTCTGTGTAGACAATACTAGGCTAGGTGAGCTAATGGTCAGTTTCAATATAAGGAAGCTTCTTTATTTTATTTTAGAACCATGAAGACTGGGAACATATTTTATTTCTAAGGAATGGCTGAAGAATGGTAGTTGAGCATCTGGTTCAATTCCTGGCATCTCCAGGTAGGGATGGAAAGAACTTCTGTCCCAACATTCGTAGACAATCCTAAGCTAGATGGATGCAGTGGCATGACATGGGAGAGGGGGCAAAGGAACAGTTGTCCCGGATGCAAAATTGTTAGGGGGTGTAAAATTTCAACACCCAGCAGTGCCTCAACACAGCTGCATGCTTCCGTCACTGGACTCTGTTGAAAACGGCTTCTCCATGCAAACCAGGAAGTGACCTCTCCAGACAACAGAATGACTCGTATTATCTCTGCGGCTGAAACCACCTGGGTGACACGGATGCCATTAAGCAGTTGAATGTGCATGCATGCTCTGTCCGTTTCCCTTTCTCCCAACCGCGTGGCCCCGGGCACTGGCAAACTGTTTACGCCACTGGATGGACCAATGGTCTGGCTTGGTGTAAGGTGGCTTCTTACATTCCCATGTTAGTCCTATGGCTTGATGATGGAACCCAGAGGCAGCTTTTGCCTGACAGTGACTTTGGAGAGGAAGCAATGATGCCTAGATCATGTGGTACCCTTGACTCTCCCTTTATCATTAAAAACTCAAGATTTCCCCATCCCACCACATGGATGAGATTCATTCTCTGTCTCTCTCTCTCTCTCCAATAGATCAGCCTTCATCAAAGCCTAAGGATATAATTAAGAGCCTAGGGACTTCAATCCAGGTCAAGCTGATGGAATCTCATAGATGATCTCTTCAGTGGCCTAGCTGGTTCGATGGACTCATGCCCAAGAATTATTTCATGCACCAGAGCAGATGGATGCCTTAGGATTTATTGTCCACCTCAAAAAAAGAAAGACAAGAAAAGGCTCGTGTTGCTTTCAACTTCTTTGACAAACCACAGGCTACATCTGGGGGGGGGGGATTGCACAGCTCAGCTGAAGAGTGAGGAGTTCACTTGGTTGTGTGTCCTGCAGCTAGGACAGTGGTGAATATTTATTCTTCTTGTTTTCAGGAGAGAACCTGTATGTGTGAGGCTGTTCCTAAGTAGTCCTTTACCTCCTTAGCAATTATATTAATTATAATATGACATGGGGAAATGTTGCTCAGTCACAGAGTACATGCATTGTTGGGTTTGGAGAAACCTCTATCTGAAACCCTCAAGAGCTGCTGCCAGTCAGTGTAGACAGTACTGAGATAGATGGACCAAGGATTTGATTCAATGAAAGGCACATTCCTATATTTCAAAAATACTATATGGGGAAGGGCTGCAGCTCAGTGGTAGAGCATCTGCCTTGCATGTAGAAGGTCCCAGCTTCCATTCCCAGCATTTCCAAGCAAAGACTCCCTGCCAGAAACCCTGGAGAGCCACTGCCAGTCAGTGTAGACAATACTGAGATAGATGGACCATGGTACTGAACAGAAGGACTGCAATGCAGTGATTTGAGCATGTTCTTTGCACACAGAAGATTCCAGGTTTGACCCCCAGCATCTCCAAGTTGGAAATGTCCACTGCCCAAAATCCTGGAGAGCTTCTGCCAGTCAGTGTAGACAATTCTGAGCTGGATGGACCAATGGCCTGACTCAATACATTCCTGTGTCATAAAGGAAGGGCTGTAGCACAGTGGTTAGAGAATCTTCATGAAACTCTGGAGAGTCACTGCCAGTCAGTGCAGACAATACTGAGCTACATAAACCAATGGTCTGACTCAGTATGAGGCAGCTTTCCATATTCATCCTGCAGATCCCAAAGCATGAACAGCATGACCGTGAAATAATTTACAGCCATTTAAGGCAGCGTGTAGTACAATATACATCTTATTAATTACTTACTTCGTAAAATTTATACACTGCTTGATTGCATGGGGTTGGTTTTTTTTTAAAAAAAAACAACCAACAACCTCAAAGCAGTTTACAAAAAAGATTTTAAAAACTCCAAAAGGAAAATTAACAGCAATAACTTTCAAGTAAAAGGTAAAGGGACCCCTGACCATTAGGTCCAGTCGTGGCCGACTCTGGGGTTGCCGTGCTCATCTTGCTTTATTGGCCGAGGGAGCCGGCATACAGCTTCCGGGTCATGTGGCCAGCATGACTAAGCCACTTCTGGCAAACCAGAGCAGCGCACAGAAACGCTGTTTACCTTCCCGCTGGAGCGGTACCTATTTATCTACTTGCACTTTGACGTGCTTTCGAACTGCTAGGTTGGCAGGAGCAGGGGCCGAGCAATGGGAGCTCACCCCATCACGGGGATTCGAACCGCCGACCTTCTGATTGGCAAGTCCTAGGCTCTGTAGTTTAACCCACAGCGCCACCCGCGTCCCTCTAACTTTCAAGTAGCAAAGCTTAAAAAACCGGTTGAAACTCGCATCAACTTCCTACATATCTAAACATTTTGTCTGGGGAGATGCCCAAATGGCAATAAGCAGGGAGTTCCAAAGTGTAGGTGCCACCACAATAAAAGGTTGAGTTCTTACAAATGCGGAACAGGTATTGCCTGACACCTGTAACGGTTGCCAGTTCCACTGACATATCTAAAGTAGGGTGATCTCTTAGGTAAACTGGTCCCAAGTCATTAAGGGCAGCAATGACAATGCAACAATGCAGTCTCTGACTCCAACCAATGCAGGCTCTGGCTCCACCTTCTGTTGACCTCCTTGTCTTCTGCACCAACAGCCTCAATGGCACCACCCACCAGTGCTAAGAGCTATCCTATCAGCTCCCCACATACCCTAAGTGCACAAAGCGGCCCTTGGTATGCTGTGCTGTCCAAGACACCCAGTACCCACAGCCCTGATGCCATTTCAAAGACCCCCTTTGCCAGCTTCCAACTGTTATAAAAATTTTAGGGTACACCCACATAGCAGACAGACACTCCACAGAAAACAGATCCTTCACCCTCCAAACATTCCCTGATAATACTACACATTATTGTAGCACACAGAACAATCCTAAAAAGCCATCTTGGCTCTTTTAATTATTCTAAATATTTCCTCTAGAGAAGGAGATATCTTGGAGACACCTTTCCCAATAGTGTCCCCCCCCTACAAATCCTACAAATATTGTCTTAAGGGCATATTTTGTGTATGAATAGGGTATGCCTGTGACCTGGATTCAAGAACTAAGGTATTTACCATTTCAAAATAATGGCCAGACTGCCCAGGTAATGCAATCAGTAAAATGTTATCAAGTATCTTGGCAGAAAAGGAGAGAAGCCACACTCAAATTTCTGTGGTAGACCTCCTACTTCTGTGATGCATGTATGATGCTTTTAGGATGGTCTTTGGCTAAGGGGTTGGGCATTATCTAAAGTCTTTAAAGGTTCCTGCACACTTTGTTCTTGGTCTTTCTCTCTCACCACCTTGCAAAGAGAGGGATCTGGGACTCTGTTGCAACAGAAGAATAAAGATCTGCCTTGCTTTCATTGGATCCTGCCTCCATCCATTCTTCTCTGACTGATCATGGACTTAGGGGACACATAGTCCCTTGGGGAGTTGGCAACCAAAGCCAAATCCATTTCCCCCCCCTACAACACAACCTAAAGCTTTCCAACTTTCTTGCTGATGACTTAAGCCCGGCGACAGGTAATGAGCGTGGAAGTCGGGAATTATTAGCACCCTCCTGATGTTAATAGCAGCTGATCTGATCATACAGCCTAGGCAGTTGTTTTCCAGCCCAAGCTAGCATCTCCCCACAGATTTCAGAGAGCAGAAACCAGCCTTTGCAAATGCACTGGGGAAGAGAAGTGTGTGTTTGAAAAGGGACCTTGATGCGAGCATTTAGGAGCCAGGCTAGCAAGCTGGCAAATGCCTCTTTGCTTCCTGGTTTCCATCAGGGCCCTTGCGCTCCCTCTGTCCCCCCACCGGAGCACTGGGAGGGGCCCTCGGAGGTGCTACAGGCGCTGCACAGCGGCGCAGAGGGACAGGAGCAAACCGACTCTGATTTGTGCCCAAAGGCATCAGTGTCATACTGGTCGTGATGTCAGCTCCGGAGAACGTCAAGGCAGCAGTCAGGGTGTGCTGTCACAAAGAGAAATAGATATCATTTCAAACACAAAAGCTCTTGAGAGAAGGGAGGGGGAGGAAGGGCTGGAGTCCCACAATGCATCGCTTCCTTTCCTTGATCACCTGACCCCTTTCCCAGGCCTTATTTGTTTGCTTCCTTGATTAATTATTTTAATTAGAACAATAGAAGCTGGGAAGAAATCCTGTGAAGCTATTACACACAGAGAGATCCACAATCACAAACCACGTATTGCAAACAGTGCTTTTGTGCCAATGCTCTGCAATTGTTTTGGTACTGTGGGATCAGAACCACAGATCTCTGGGGTTAGAGATTGATTGTTAAACCACACTGGGAATTTATAGCTCTGAGAGGGGAGTAGGGGTCTCCTAGGGGTCTCAGGGCCATAATAAATGACAGCTCCCAGAATCGTTTGTGGGAAGCCATGACTGTTTAAAGCAGTATGGTAGTTCCTTTGTTTTAATTAATAGAGATAGATCGATAGATGATAGATAGATAGATAGATAGATAGATAGATAGATAGATAGATGATAGATAGATATAGATGATAGATTTGTGAACAGCCCTTCATCTGAAGATCTCAGGGAGATCACAACATAAAAATACAAAATGAAAACACAAAATACGTAATAATAATTAGAAAACCTATAACCCCACAATCCCAATTTCACCATATTCATAATGGTGGAATGGACTCGCTTTGAAGGTGGTGGACTCTCCTTTGTTGGAGGTTTTCAAAGAGAGGTTGGATGGACATCTGCCAGGTATCCTTTAGCTGAGTTTCCTGCATTGCAGGGGGTTGACTTGGGGCCCCTTCCAATCCTGCAGTTCCATGATTCTATGTGTTGTGTGGTTCTCGACCACCTTCTGTGATGTCCACCAATTGTAGGATGGGAACCTTTGTCAGTTTGCATTTCTTAATGCAGAAAGTATTGATCTGATGTGTAGAGATCTTTCCTATTCTCATTAATTCAAGAGGGTTCTGGAAGCTTCTCTGTGTGAAAGAAACAAGCAGAAGGTTTGTGATGTTTGGGTTATTCCTTCAGAGAAGCTGAGTACAGCTGCCTTAAACTGGTTCTGTTACCGCTTTCTGTCAAAGTCATGCTGACTATAAAAGTAGGGCCAGAAGGAGCCTGAGTTTCACTTTCTATCTCTTTTCCTTCTGGTGTGGTGTTCTGTATATAATATGCTATAATGGTACGGTTTAGTCTTATTATAAGTTATTGTAAGTTTAAGTTAAGTCTGCTGCAACTGGATTTCTTAAGGACTGTGCCAATCCTGAATGTATTGGATTTGTGACCATTATGCTCATTTGCCTTCGGTAGCAGTAAAGCTCTGCTGGATGAAATACAACTCCCTCTGGTCTATTTTTTGGGAATCCCACAACGTGTTTAAGATTTTACTCTGCTAACTATACATTGGAATCTGCTCTGGATCAATATTGAGTAGAATTCCATGACAACCCCACCCATCTCTCTGCTTCTGCTGCTCCCACATCCAGCCTCCAGTCCAGAAAACAACCAGCTGCCTTATATCCCTGCTCAATCACTGAGGTATTCAGGGGAATCACTGTTAGTGTATCCTTATGGCTCAGATGCACAGCTTGGCTCCACCGGGAACTGTGCATTCAGCATTGCGGACCCAATGTTATGGAACTCCCACCCAGTTAAAGCCAGATAGTCCCTCTACCCACTGAACTTCCAGCACCTTCTGAAGACTTAAATTCCAGCAGGCTTTTAAACTGAATTCTGATTCTATAGTTTTAACTCTTTTTAGTCTTCTTGCATTGGCTCTCCTTGTAGGCTGCTTAGCAACAACTGTGAATAAGTGATATGCAAATCTTTGATACAAATAAATATTTGCAATCCATCTTGCTTCCACATGTGTTCCACCCATGTCCATTCCAACCTGTTCCCACATTTATTTAGAAAATACAAAATGCAACCAAAGGGTGTAAATTTGCAGAATTATTTATTTAATTAAATAATGCGGGGGGGGGGGAGACACATCAAAGTGGTTTGGAGCAATAAAACATATAGCCGTGCAATAAAAACCATATTAAGAAGTTATAAACATACTTCAATTAACCATTGTGGAAGGATGTATTCTTAATTGCCTGCATAGTTTTCCAGCAGGCTCTTAAAGTTGGACAGAAGGTGCCTGCTAGATCTCTAGTAGCAGAGTGTTCCACAGGATTGGGCTGAAGACACTGAAAGCTCAGTTTCTTGTGAAATGAGCCTTGCCAACCCAGGGAACGACACGTGATGTTCCTGCAGATGATCTTGGAAATCAAGGTGGGATATAAAGGTTCAGGTG